GGAGTCTGAAGGGTGAGTGGTTTTGGAGCATGAGATTCCAGATGTGGCAGTTAATACAGGTGGAAATAACTAGTAAATGGCTAGAAATCCCTAACTTAGGCTTAGCAAAGATGTCCAGTCTCAAGAGTTGAGTTGTTCATATGGAGTTGTTAATTAAAGCCATGAGAATCATTTGTCAATGAGTAAGTAGTTTTAGAAATTTAAAACCTTGGGAAGAAAGGCTCTAGTCAAATCCTGAATTTCAAATGATTTATTCATGGTAAAGCTCTGTTCATAGGCTTCCAGTCTCTCCCATACTCAAGGCCTAGTACACGGCTTATTCAGAGAAGCCAGCCAGGGCAGAGCACTGGGCAAGGGGAGGCCACTCCATGGGCAGAACTTAGGGGCTCTGAGAGCCGGGAGATAAGCAGCTAGAGGACAGCCCTGGGGAATGCTGTGGCATGTGTTCAGAATACATCCCCAAAATGCACTCAACAATTGTCTCCCAACCCATATGCTCTTCTTTTATTTTGTGGGCTTGATGCTCCTCACATTGAGAGGTGGGGTCTCTGCTCCGTCCTCTGAATCTTTGAATCTGGCACCATGGCAGAAGTGATGCTAGGTGAGTTCTGAGGCTAGTTCATAAGAAAAGGCTATACAGCTTCTGCTTGGTTCTCTTGGGACACTCACCTTTAGAGTACAAGCCTCCATGTAAGAAATCCAAGGCCACATGGATAGGCCATGTACAGGTGTTCTGGCCAACAGCCAAAGATCTCTGTCTACCAGCATCTTGATATAGATCAACTTGCCAAACATGAATGCTGTTACCTCCAAATGACTCCTGGCCCCAGCCATCAAGCACCTCAGCCTTTTACCATCCAAACTGAGGCTCCGAAGTCACAGAGCAGAGACAAGCCATCCCTTCTACGTCCTTTCTGAATTCCTCACTCCCAGAATCCATGAATAAAATGGCGGTGAAGGTATGCCCTCACCGCCATTTTGTTTTTATTTTTTATTTGTTTTGTTTTTTGTTGTTGTTGTTTGAGACAGGGTCTCATTCTGTCTCCCAGGCTGGAGGGCAGTGGCGCCATCTCTCTGGCTGCAACCTCTGCCTCCTGGGTTCAAGAAATTCTGCTGCCTCGGCCTCCTGAGTAGATGGGATTACAAGAGTGCACTACCACGCCCGGATAATTTTTTGTATTTTTAGTAGAGACAAGGTTTCACTACCTTGGCCAGGCTATTCCTGACCTCAGGTGACCTGCCTGCCTCAGCCTCCTAAAGTGCTGTAATTACAGGCATCAATCACTACTTCCAGCCTAATTTTTGTATTTTTTAGTAGAGATGGTGTTTCATCATGTTCATCATGTGGGCCATCGTGCCAGGCCAGGTTTTGGCATTTCTGGTTTTTTT